TTAAACTGGCTGGGCGTGGTGGCTGACGCCTGTAATCCTAGCACTTTGGGAGGCTGAGGTGGGCAGATCACGAGGTCAGGAGTTCGAAACCAGCCTGGCCAGCATGGTGAAACCCCGTCTCTACGAAAAATACAAAAAATTAGCCGGACATAGTGCCATGTGCCTGTAATCCCAGCTACTCGGGAGGCTGAGGCAGAAGAATTGCTTGAATCTGGGAAGTGGTGGTCGCAGTGAGCCGAAATCGAGCCACTGCACTCCAGCGTGGGTGAAAGAGCGAGACTCCATCTCAAAAAAAAAGAACAAACAAACAAAAAAATTAAACTGTTAGGTGTTTCTTTTGACCTAGGGATGCTGTGAAAAAAATTACTGCGATAATAAGGGTGCCATGAATTGAGAAAGCTTGGGCACTTGACTGATAAAGGCCTATGAAGAAGGCCTTTAAGAGAGAGAAAGAATGCGTGTGTGTGTGTAGTTATGAGGTTACTGTAGATTGTTGTCAACAAAATTTACAATAGGCTAATGAAAGTACTCTCTCCAGTATAGTAAGAGCTGTAACAGATGTTATGACAGGACATAAGAGAAGCAACCAGCCCAATCTTGAAGGTTTTTTTTTTTTTTTTTTGAGGGATGGGATCCAGAGAGAGAACCTAATTGTAATTTTTTTTGGAGAAGTATAACCTAAACTGAATTCTGAAGGACCAGTAGGAGTATACTAAATTAGGGGAAGGAAGAGAGGCTAGAATTCCAGGAAGAGGAAATGGAGGACTGAGTAAACAAACACTAGCATTCCAGAAGCTGGGTATTGTTAGAACAAAAGATCATCCAAGAAGAGAGATAAGGCTAAAGGGTTAGGTAAGGAAAAAATGAAAAAATATGAAAGATAAAGGGGAAAAAAAAGAGTTAGGTAAGGAGCACATCTTGAAGATTTTGTATATGAGATTAAGGCTAAATGGAGTTTGAATTTTATTAATGGGCAAAAAAGAGCCACAAGAGGATTTCAAGCAGGGGAATATCACCACTGTTCTACACAAGAATGGGAAAAGTATCAGATGAGTTCCAACCACAGGCTATAAGGCTGCTGCAGTAATCCAGAATAATCTAGACAGGGCAGCTGAACTCAGTGTTCAGTCGCTCAGTGTGGCAACCTCCACTTTCAATGGAGTACTACGCTAGCTTCTCGACTACATAAGCAAACAGATCCCATGGCTTAGATGATCACAATCATAATCTTTTGGAAACTGGGGGATCTTTGCTCACCTTCCCAATAAATCAGGGAGTATAAGCCATTTTATAATCTGTGTCTTATTGTCCAAAATAACATTATCAAACCCTGACATTTAGTTTCAAAAGTAAATTCAGTAATAAAATTGGATCCCAGACTTTAAGGAGATTATGTATGTCAGTGTTACATCTATTGCATCTAATATAGGACCCTAGCTGTGAAGGGCTTTAAGAACAGTATCATTTTATGGAGGCATGCCTTTTTTGGCTTGTAAAGACTACCCTCTTGACTTTGAGAAACTAAGTCAACACCTTCAGGTATAATTAAATCAAATGTGCAAATTATCATCTAAAATTTACTCATACATAGAAACCCATAGAAGTTTAATTTCTTTTTTTCTATATGGCAACCCAAATCCTTATGAATGCAATAAGGTAATAAGAAAGATGTCTTAAAAAAAAAAAAAAAAAGAATAACTGTTACTTATGGGGGCCAGATAATCAGCTGTTTTTTACTTAAGGGTATATCTTTAAAAAAACAGAAAGAGAGAGAGAGAAAAACACATTCTTCAAAGTAAGCCTATTTAAAAGTGCATTTTAAAAAGTGCACAGGCTTAGAAGGAGGGAAGAGAATTCTACCAGCACTGAATAGCAGCTAGACCCTTACAAGACTTCTGCCACCTTTAAGCCTCCATTTTAAACCCAGAGAAAATGATTAACGGCCTCAAATGGTTAAAAACAGACCCAGAACATCTCTGCTTCTTTTACCATTCTTTCTACTGTCCCCCTTAGCTTCTCCCCAATTTCCATTAGTGAAAGAAAGAACTAAAAAAACAATGTGATTTCAAGGAAAGGTCACTGCAAATAGACTTATGGTATTCCTCTCAAACAGGGACAATTCTGTTACTTTAAAAAGCACTAATCAAAAGAACTGAGTCCAAATACTTTACCAGAACACTGACAGGAACAATGCCCAACCCTTTTTCCATCATGGCACACATAGAAGGTGGTAACACTGTATTTGTAGGCACACTGAAGATAGAAGAATGGCTGCTGCTTGAGGCCACCTGGCCAGGACCACTGGTAACCCCAGGCCACACTTGATGTCCAAGAGAGAGGAATCAGTATCTTCGCCTTCCTGAAGCTCCAGTTCCAAGCTCAGTCAGAACTGCCTTTTCCACAGCCATTTAGGATTAACTGCAATAATACTCAATGCTCTCAGCAATTGTTACTTTCAAATCTGGGCTCTACTATACAGAAGCTAAGTGCCCAGCCTCTGGCAAATAACTTCAATTTACCTTAATAAAGTATGGGAAAACTACCTGTCTTGCAGAAGTGTTGTGGAGATTAGAAATAATTTAAGTAAAGCTCTTATCACAGTGTCCGGCAGGCAATCAACACATGAGAACTCTTATTACCAAGAGGACTACTGAATTAAAGAAGGAAAATCTAACCTCTGTATAGTGGTAATGTCACTGACATAAGAAATTGCTGGCTTCCCTCTCCTTAGTGTCTAAGAGTTAAAACATTTTATAAAACAATGAAAATCATAAACTATCTACTTCAAAATCATAATATTTTTCCTCATTAACATTCACAGCCTCTTATTCCAGTTATTTTAAAAGTAATTGTCCTTGCCACTCATCTACTAACGAATACAAATGCATATTACACTGATATGCATATCTACAAGAATTGACAGTAGTACATTTATTTACGTTCTGTAGAAGCTAAGCTTGGAAAAACAGTGCAGGACCACCACCAGATATTTGGAGAGGACAGAAAACATCAGCACCTTCTTCTTATTTGAACCTCCCTAACATGAAAATAATCCAACCATCTATAGACAAAAATATTCCCTCACAAATGGTAGACAAGATTCTTTTCTATAATTAGTCCTTTCTTCCTTTGGAAAGTCCTGTGAAGAAAGTGTTGTAATGAAGTACTGCTTCAAAATAAATGATACGTATTATTGCACACTCAGCAAACACACTAGAGAACAGCATCTGGATCTTGGAAAATAAATATAAAAGAGGCTATTGGTAAATCATGCCAAGGTCACATCAGGATGTCAGAGGATTGCATGTATTCATGGGAAGAATGAACCACTATAAGCATTCTGGGAAGCACCACGTTTTCCAAACAGTGATAATTCCTAATTTCCTCTTTTTGATTAAGATAGGGTACAGTTATCAACCCCAAACATAAACTTGCTGTGTATCACCAGGCAATCTCTTCCTACTAACTCTGAATATGCTCAAGTAGTAAGCATTTAACACTGGAATACAAGTTACAATGCCCAGCACAATTTTAATATAATTTTAACCTTTCAGAGCAGGATAGTTTTGGAAGGTAAAGAATCCTTTGACTCTGCTGAAGGATGTAAAGACGAAGTAAAGTCTGTATGTGGCAAGAACCTAAAACAAAACAAACAGCCTAGCCCAACAAAAATAAGCAACTCCTGGATGGTGACTGTGAGATAACCTATACATTCATTCATTCAGTGCAGAAATGTGTGAACAGCTCATGTTCAAGGCATTCTGCATAGAAACAGTGATAAGTAGGACATGGCTCCTGCCCTGAAGAAATTCAAGGTCAAAAAATGGTGTTTTCAGATAATATTTTACAATAACAGTGTTATTATTTTAATACAAGAGTCAGTTTAGAATAATATTGTATTCCAGAGACAGAAAAACATGAGCTAATAAGACACACTGAAATACATTAATAAACATACTGTAAGAGTTTACTAATGAAATCTGTTATCCAATTTCTGGAATATGATTAAAGTTGCAATTTACTTCCTGGAAAAACATTAACTTATGATACATGTTTTATAATGTTTTATAAAGGTTGTTCCCCACACACACTACACACTTTGTAAATTAGGTGCTTTTCAGCTTGACACGTAGGGCGTGGCACGGGGCTTCTCACACTACCTCAGCGACACTTGGATGAGCTCTTACAAGTATGGACATTCAGGTTTCCGAGCACAGGCCAGTTAACTCCCTAATTCTCCCTAAATCCTGAAACAACACTGCCACCCGTGTGCCGTCACCCCCGTCTACTTACACACATATATACAGGCTAAAGCATGCCAATCACATCTTCCACTTCTAGAAATCTTTCAGAAACGAACCACAGAGGAAACACCTCTCTCCTAAAATGTATTCTCTTCCTCATTTTAGAAGCTAGATTACCTGAAAATGGGCTAAAGCTGTGCAAGCGCCCAAGGCCAGGTAGTCAGTTCAGCGCGGGGAGTCTAATGACTTTAGTCTGAAAAAACATTCCTTTAACTGGTAAAAAACAAACAAACAAACAAAAAACCCTGGGGGAGATGCTTAAAAAGCAGCAGCTCTAGTACAGGCAAGGAGTGGAAAGAAAGGGAAGGAGGGGAGAGGGGCGGAGTGAGGCGCGGGGACTGCGGCGGCAGCGGGTTGCCCCAGGTCGCGGGCACCGCCCGGGCGGGAACTTGGGCGCCGTGGACCAGAGGTGCGGGGTGACCTTCGGACGAGGAAACTCAGAGGGGCTGCCGGGCGCGGGGGACCTCCCCGCAGCCGCCCGCTCTGGGGGCTCACTCGCCCCACAGCGGCGAACGCGGTGCCCCGGATTCCAGCCGGGCTCATCTCGCAGCTCGACCCCGGGCAGAACGCGGGATGTGCAATCCCGGCAGCCCGAATCCGCGTAAGGGCCTCGGCCCGCCGCAGCCCGGACACACCCCCGCCGCCGCCCCGGTGGCCCCAGTCCCTCCCCGGGCGGCCCGAGCGGGCATCGCTCACCTGCACTCCGAGCCAGTCCGCCGCCCCGAAGGCTCCGGAAGCCGCGGCTGCGTGGCTCCGGCCGGAGGGTACTCGGTCCTTGTCGCCTGGGAGGCCCCGCGCCGGGAGCGGTCGAAGGAGGAGTCTGACGGGTGGCGACGGAGCCTGGGCGGCTGGAAGAGGAGGAGGAGGAGGAGAACTCCAACGCTCTGTTCTGGGGAGATCCACCCTCCTCCTGGCGGCTCTGCAGCAGCCGCCGCAGATCACTTCCGGGGCTCTGGGGAGCGGGGCGGGGCGGCTGGGGAGCGACTTCCTGTCCGTGGGCTGAGAGGAGGGTGATCATGGGCCCGGGCAGGAGAACAATGGCTTGGAGGGCGCAGGCTGCCCGGCCTCCGCCCCCTGCATGGTGAGGCCTGTCTGCGCTGTCTTTCCGGTGGCCCCACCCCCGGCTCTCTGAGCTCCGCAAGGTGAAGTCATCTCCCGGGGGCTCGGGAGTGGCTGCGGGCCTCGCGGAGGTTCCCGGATCTCGGCGGCGTCGCCCCGGTGTCCTTGTCTTTATTTTGGGGACCAGGAGGGGGTTCTTGCGGGAAGGAGGGGAGAGCGGAGTCCGCCATCTTGCTTCTAGAGGGTCAGCTCCTGTTCCCTGGGCGTCTGAGGGTTGAGGCCGCTCGGTGGCGTGGCCGGAGGTATTCAGAGCGGAGCTGGCGACGTGGCTTGTCGCGGGCCAAATCCCAGGAGGCGGGTCAGCCGCCTACCCTGGCTGGAGGGTCTCGTGGCTGCCCTGGGCCTCATCCAACTGCTGACCCCCTGGAGAATTCGCCTCCTTGGACGGTCTGCGAGTTCTTTCTGAGGGGTATCGGACCCCCCCCTGCGATTCTGCGGGTCGGGTGTCGGTGTGGCACTGAGATCATCTTGCGGCCCCATCGCACTGTGATTTGGTAGCTTGTGAGAAGTAGTTTCACTAAATCCGTAAATTTAAGTTAGCAACTACAGATTCTTATGTCTTGACATTTATTCGCTTATCTCTCTTTGCTTCCTACAAATTGAGTACCAACTACATTCCTGGTATGAGCCATTCAAGTATTGTCCAGGCTAGTGGGCAGACAGACATGAAAGCAAATAATTGCTATTGAAAGTATGGTATATCAAGATGTACAGAGTAAAGAATGGATAGCTGTACTAACTGTAGGTTAGAGTTTTTAAGATAAATAGGTATTTTCTACTACAAAAAAAGGGATGGGATGGCAAATCCGGATCCGAACAGAAAGGACATGCAGCACGGGGACAAATAATGTGTTGAGAAGAATGAGTAATAATTACAGGTCTTAAATTTCAAACTTAGGTTGCTGAAAAGGTTGAGGCTAGAGAAGAAAACAGGAGCCAAATCACGAATCATCTATGCCCTGGTGAGGCAATGAGTGGACAGATTACAATTTAAGCTATTCTTCTGTTGGTAGAGAACAGATATAACTTGTGGGGTGGAGGTGGGAGGGCAGAGGAGAAGGGTAAGCAGAGAGCCCACAAGGGGGCTATTGCAGAAGCCCGATCCTGTGTGAGTGGTAGTGAGCATCCAAAGGAGATGGATTCCTAAAATATTCAAGAGACCAGATCAACTGATAATTGGTTGCTAGGGGCAGCTGCCAGATGGGAGAATGGAAGAGGCAATGATGAGGCCTTGTTTTGCTTTGAGGGAGGGGCAGGATAAGGGCGTATTTTACTAAATAAGATAAGGAAGAGTTAGAATGAGTCCTGGGAGGGGACAGTCAGTTTTGGAGTTGATGAGTGAAGTAAGAGTGGTGCTGTCTAATGGTGGTTGCTGTATGGGTCTAGAGCTCAGGGAGGAGCGGGGCTGAAGTTGGAAACACCACAGGTTTACATTACCACATCCAAGCTGACTGCAGTCTTACGTCATTGAGCACAGTTTCAAAACTACTTCTCCTTTCTCCCTGCCTTTACTTGGGAAAATTACTGAAATACCGCATTAAAAAAACCCAGTATGGTGATATGTGTCATCCATAGACCAATACTTTAATGTTTAATGCTCTTCTAAGGACCCTAAAGGTCAGGTTTAGCAGAAACCGGATGTAACAGTGGTAACTGTTAATAGTATAGCATCATTAACTCATAAAATGAAATATTATCTATGTTTATATTTTAATATTTTAATTTTTTTCTTTTTTATTCTCTAGGAATTGCTCCGTCCCAATAAAATATTTTAAATTTAATCATTGACAACAGTTAAGCTGGCCATAGGTTAAGGATTGAGGATGGTGGGTTGCACAAATATCTGCTCAATGGAGAACTAGAAGGAGGATGACTTCAAGAAGAGTGAGCAATAGGAATGCAATGAAAGACAACCTCAGATTCATTAGTCAGCCTGTCTCAGCTGCTTTTCGGTGGCTCACAGCTATGCTAACCTAGCATAAAGCAGTCAGAAATAGAATAGTTCATTTTGAGCAGAGCTTCAGAAAACCACAAATAGTAAAAGCCCTATAAATAATAGCTACAGCTGCAAACCAAAGGCTAATTATTAGTTTTTAACTCTATATCCCTGTAGAGCAGCATTTTTGAACACACAAAAATGAGAAACTCATTCACTTACATCGTAGATTATTTAAATACAGTATTCTCAATTTGCCTTGGATAAAAAAGCATTTAGGTGTATTGAACAACCATATAATGGATAATATACTGAATAGGAAATGAGAATAATTAGCTTGAGTCCCTTTTTTGTTAGTTGTTCACCGTATGACCCTAGCAATGTCACTTAACCTCTCTATGCCCTAGTTTCTCTTACTGTAAAATAGAGATAATAATAACTTTCTATCAACTGCCTCTCAGAGATATTATAGGAAATAACAAATTAATGCTATGAAAACTCTTTGAGGTACTTGGATGAAAGGGCATAATTGTAAGCACATATTATTAATAATTAGCACTAATATCCAGTAGCACTCATGAGCATTCCTGACTTTGCTGCCTGGATTACTCAAAGAACATGAAGGATCCTGTTTTGAAATACACTTAGATCTTTTTTCTTAACTTGTGAATTGACTGTTTACTATTTATGATCAAACCTAGTGTATTAACAAATATAGTTAATGAAAGAGGGAAGTAAAAAGAAGTTTTGGTAACTACAACTTTTATGTTCATGCTACTCATAGCTAATATATGCTTTGGGGGAAAATACAGGGTAGATAGGGATTTGCCAGAAGCATGTTTTAGAATTAATGATTAGTCTACTCCAGTCAATTGACTGGAATTTTCTATTAAAAACATTACTCATGTCCCCATAGAATAATGCAGTCCCTATAGAATTTATATACAGTTACATGTTTGACACAATTAAGTTGAACATTCCTGTGAGACTCTGTCATTCTCATCACTGTTTAATCAGAAACGTAATGAAATATATAGACTTGTGAAGTTTCGTCCAATGTCTATCCCTAAAGTAGATGAAATTTTTTTCCATTAAATTGGTGACTTCAGTGTTTCCTTTAGAAAGGTGTATGCATAATGTAAATATTTAAATATATTCATGACTACATAATGTGCATATTTATTTTTATATACTTGCTTATATGCTAATTTATAAAATTATCATATAATGTATATTAACTATACATCTGGTAACAACAATGACAAACAAGACTTCTTTGTGTTTTAGGGCCAGATGAAAAGGTAATTGGTTAATAGCCATTTGTCACCATTGATGAAAAATCAACTCAAAGTCATGTTTTATTATTTATTAGAGTTAAGAGCATTATCTATAAGAGTCATGACACCTTGACTGGGTGTAGTGGCTCACACCTGTAATCCCAGCACTTTGGGAGGCCCAGGCATGAGGATCACTTGAATACAGGAGTTCAAGACCAGCTTGGGCAACATAGGGAGTCCTCATCTCTATTTAAAAAAAAAAAAAAAAAAACTAGGCAGGCATAGTGGCATTAACCTGTGATCCCAGTTACTCAGGAGGCTGAGGTGGATCCCTTGACGCCAGAAGGTCGAGGCTACAGTGCCTGTGATCATTATACTGTGCTCTAGCCTGGGCAACAAAATGAAACCCTGTCTCAAAAAAGAAAAAAAAAATCCATGACACCTTAACATTTGTACTATTTCATTTTGTTTTCACAATTTTGTGAGATACAAATTGTTCAAAGAAAGATTGCAGTGAGCCAAGATCTTGCCATTGCACTCCAGCCTGGGCAACAAGAGCAAAACTCTGTCTCAAAAAAAAAAGAAAAGAAAAAGAAAAGAAAAGAAAGAAGTAGGCTTAGAGTGCTGAAAGACTAGCCCTCTGAGACTAGTTTTTAAAGACTTAAAAACTCGCTACAGTTGTCAAGTAGCATACTCAAGCACACATCTTGAGATTCTCAAATATATTGTTTCTTTTAGTACTTTATACCAGGGTCACCAGCTTGATATGACTTTTATTTCAGAACGTATTTATAATAGAGCATTTCTGGCTTATTTTTGATTGCCTGCAGCATCTCCAAAATTCAGCCAAACTTAAGTTTTTAAAACTGAAAACTACAATTCTTATGTTTATGGCTGTATCTTTACCAGGTTGAAGACAAGCACTTTGTTTTATTCATTTTTGTATCCTTCATGTTGTCCAAAATAAGTACTCAGAAAATATTTTGGGGATAAATAAAAAGTATATTGTGATGTTTAGTTGAATTAGGGAATAAAAAGCTGTTACAATCACCTCAGAAACTTTTTTAGGGGGTTGTACCCATTTTCAGCACATTCATATAAAGATAGTTTGTTTGGGTTTATGCTTTAAATTGGTGGAACCATTGCCTCAGTTTCCCACTTCATTTTTAATGATGTCATGCCTTGGAGAGATAGGCTTAAGTAGGTGCTGGAAATGACAGTCACCTGTATGATATGCTTCTGGATATGTTTGTTGGGCTTAGATAGTCTGGATGACCCACAACAAAAGGGTCACCTAGAATATCTAAACACAGCTTTAATGAGAATGTGTAAAGAGTGGGGTTATGACAGTTTAGGTCTTCATAATTCTCCTCTTCATGTCGACGACCCTTTTGGACCACGTATTTCTATACTTTTTCTGTCAAGGGATTGGAGGATAAGAGTACTGTATCAGTGGTTCCCAAATGTGACTGCTTATCACAATCACCTGTATAGTTTCAAAGGAAATTCAGATTCTCAAGTCCCACTCTAAACATAGAAAATATTTAGATTTAGGATTAGAAAATCTTGGGTGAAGTCCAAGGCATCTGTAACTGTAATAACACTCTCCGTCGAATTCCAATGATCCGTCAGGTTTGGGAAGTTCTGGTTTCAATAACTCGTTCGAGGTCACACAGAACCCTAAGTAGAGC